GGCTATGCATATATAAAATTACTTTTCAGGCACGAAGAGGCCAGTTTTAAAAACATAGCAAAAGTAATATCTACACAGACTTCTGTTATTGGAGCTAACAACTATCTTAGAATAAGTTAAGTCTATACATTAAAAATATATTTTCCCAAATAGTTTTTAATGAATATTCCCTAATCCTTAGTAAACAAGAAAGCTTACTGCGCTGCTCATGATTTTCACTGCTGTGTGTCGCTGCTCTGTTTCATTTAATAACTTGCAATTTCCTATCACTTAGCAGTATACTTTCTGTAAACTATACACAATTTTAGTTCTGAAGCATCATTCTTGGTTTTTCTGTCTACACTCCCATTGGGTGGGTGGTGTGTAAAACAAATACCTCTTCCTGCTGGTGCAGTTGCCACTTTTCATCTCTTGTACAATACTCATCTAATCAGACAGTGCCTGTAAATGCAACTTACAAGAGCAGGTTGTAATTTCATTAAAGATGTATTTACTGAGCTAAACCAGCTGTTCTGGGCTGGAATGCAAAAAAAAGGCCCATGTGATTGCTACTCAGCCATTTTTAAGGCAACTGAAAAATACATTTGCTGAGCTAACCTCGCTCTCCCAAAGAGCCGGCAATGCTAGCTTCTTCTGTGTAAAAAGGTTTAAACAGTTATTATAGTGTGTCATAAATTTTAACTTGTAATTGAAAATCTCTTCAATTCCTAAAAAAAAATTAAAAAATCTGTACTACTTGCTATGTAATTACAGACTGTGCAGCTGCTCTCTTAGGCTTCAGTAGAAAATTTGAAGGCATGAAACACTGTACAAACCTTATTCAAATTTTATTGAATTTCTAGTCATAGATACGCCATTCTCATACTGCAGGCTTTCAAATAATATCACCTTCTTTCTGCTACCAGGACTGAAAAGCAGATGAATCTAAAGTTGATCCAGGCCATATTGAGTTCCTCACCACACAGGTGATTATCAGCTCCTTAACAGGATAGTATCATTTCTATTTCTGCCAAGCAGGCTTCAAAGGGAATGCTACCTGAATATGTGGCTGGGAAAAGATTTTAGTGTATGAAGACAACTTCTATTTAATTTTCAATAGGTCCTGGTCATTATGCATGGCCACAACTCTCTGAGTCACTTTAGTACAATTTTTGTGCCATTTCCTTGAGTCATTTACAGCGACAAGAAATTTCGTTCATTAAATGGTGGACCTAATATTTCAGCCAAAGGCATAGGACTGGTGACCCCACAATATCCTGTTCACCTTCAGCAGTTTGACATGAGTCATACTTCATTAACTATTCCCTTGCCTTTGTGTACTGTGGGAGCTGTGGTGTGATGCTGAACTTTTAGAGCAATTAAAATAAAATATACACTGTGAGCCTCTACCCTTAATTCACAATGCATTTCAGTCTTGGGTCACTGATTTGAAATGGACAGCGTCTGGAAAAAAGCTTTACACACCCCAGGCTCCACACTGCACTTTGTTTCTCCCTGTTGGTGCAGTATCAACATTTTTAATAGTAAGTTATTTATTTGTTTGGATTGATTTAGACTCTAAAAAGAATTTTCAAGTCTGAAGAATTTAATTAATTCATTATCACAACAGCTTACAGGAACTATGAAAGGTGTTAGCACACTTCAATCACAACCATGTTTCAGCCTGGTCCTTGTAATTGCTTTCTTAATTCCTGGCCAGCCAAATACAGAAGAGCTCCATGGGGTACACCACAGTCTTTGAAATCTTAAGTCCGGTATACAGGATGTTGGACAAATAACTTCCTCTGACTGCTAGTGAGACCCATTACTCCTAAGCATTTTGAAAACTTCCACTCTAAGAACCACTCCAAGGTTTTAAACTCAGAATATAGACTATCATAGTTGGTTTAGATCATCAACTCAAAATAGCTAAAATTAGAATGAAGCCTTGCACCCTCAGAATAAATGTATGTTCAACTGTTCTCAGTTTTAAAGCATGACTATTCATAAATTTCTGGGTCATTACATAGAAAATTCAACAAAATGCAAAATTATTTTTTAAAAGCAGTATTATTTAAAAAAAAAAACAACTCCATAGAAGTTTGGTTTTTTTTCCCTCACTTAATCCAATTGCAACTGGAGATGCTTACAGTTCACCAGGGACCTTTATAATTAAAGCTCTAACAGCCTGAAATTATTTTCCAATTATTACTCAACACACCAATCGGTGCAGCAATACTGTTTATATTTGTCACCAGAAATTACTGTGATTACTCTTCTCTTTGCTTTCACATGTGTCACTAAAAAAAGCTAAAAGGAAGTAAGATGGAAAAACAGACAAGGATCTCTGACAGACTATGGATCCAGACTCACTGATTCTGGCATTCAGCA